AATGATTTAAAATAACGTGTGTTGAAATGAATACAAATGTGTTAAATTTGTAATAAACATTCTGACGAGCAGCATTCCATAAATATGAGTTGATAATTCTTTCAATACAGTATAAAAAGTATAATTTATTTATATTCACCACAGAATGTTTTGTCTCAGAGAGGGGGATTGTACACGCCTTATACGCCCTCTTTCAAAATAGACATCATTTCGGGAGTAGTTCACACTGGTTTAAAAACGTTTGACAGAAAAAAAGATTATTACTCAAAAGTAACCCTTAAAAAAATGAGTGAAAACGACTGCGTATAAGAATATATGAACAATTATTAAAAATATCAGTAATTGTAATTATCCACGTTATATTTGAATTTTAAACAGATAATGAAACTTGAATCTATTGCTTAAAACCCTCAAAACAAAATTTACAATAAGATATGCTTGACAAAAACAGTAATGGTCTGAGAAGAGCAGAGAATTGTAAGAGCACAATGATAGATTTATAGGTAATTTTCTTAAATATTAGTGGTCTTATTGTTCAAATTCCTTTTCGGGGATGTAGTTTAATTTCTGGAGGAATCTAGAAAGCAATTTTTTTGCAAAAAAAAATCAAAAGGTTAATGAGAATAAGGAATCCACAACATTAGATTTTTTAATGACAGCCTCCAAACCCGAAACCCCTGAAGAGTAAAGGAGTCTTGGGGATAAACAAAAGTTAATGTTCATTCACATTAACAATGAGCACCAGATCTTTCGCCTTTTGACTTGTTCCATTTGCCAAACTTGAGAAAACGCCTTTCAGAAGGAAGAAACAAGTCCAGGAAATCATAGGATCTGCAATAATCCAGTATACAAAGGTTCATACCAGAAAATGAGTTCAAAAACAATTGAAAATGAATCAAAAATTGGATAAAAAATGTTACTTACATGTGTTTTAATGAAAAGATAATTTTAGGTTTAATCATTATAACTACATTATTGAAAAGCGACTTCTTTCCGAGCACCGAAGACATTATTTATTAAACGACCCTTGTATAAGGTGACCAACCGATTACAATATCAGGTGTCCTCTGGTCCCCCTACTGATGTACAATATGAGGTGACCTCTAGTCCCCCTACTAATGTACAATATACGGTGACCTCTGGTCCCTCTACTGATGTGCAATATAAAGTGGACTCTGATCCCTTACTGATGTACAATATAAGGTGACATCTGGTCCCCCTTCTGATGTACAATATAAGGTGACCTCTAGTCCTCCTACTGATGTATAATATAAGGTGTCCTCTGGTCCCCTTACTGATCCCCTACTGATGTACAATATGAGGTGACCTCTGGTCCCCCTACTGATGTACAATATAAGGTGGCCTCTGGTCCTACTGATTCACAATATAAAGTGTCCTCTGATCCCCTTACTGATGTGCAATATAAGGTGACCTCTGGTCCCCCATCTGATGTTCAATTAAAGGTGATCTCTGGTCCCCCTACTGATATACAATAAAAAGTGGCCTTAGGTCCCCCTACTGATGTACAATATAAGATGTCCACTGGTCCCCTTCTAATGTACAATGTAAGGTAACCTCGTCCCCTTATTGATGTAGCCAAGTGACAAGACTTTTATAAGGTTCACCACTTTATTGTAACGTATTAACCAAAAGGCAGCAGTGATATCTGCAAAGAACAAAGTATAATAATGAACAACACTTATAAAATATGTACAAAGTGTATATACTGAATGATGGTTGATGATGTAATTCATCCTAAATAAACCTAGTAGTTCATCTACATACATAAGTGCACACAACTCTTGATCAAACTACTTAATACTAAAGTCATATACAAGCATATATAGTGAGACCTACACTAAACATAACACATGGTACTATTATGTACTCACGATAAAGTGTAAACACTAATATGATTAAACTGGTCAACTAAATATGACACAGATACTGACTTTTATAATAAACCACTGTCCTAATACCTAGCTTGACTCTTATTAAAGAATAATATACACAGCCGTTACCAAATAACACACTTCTACATGTATTCAGCCAAGAAAAGTAATAGACTTAACCATCAACATCTACACCATCAAACTGATATATCATACATCAGGGTCACAAGTCAAAGTTTACAAAGACAAGTTATTCCCTTATCATTATGAACAAAAATGACATTAAAATGTATAGAAATCATTGAACATTTGCTACATCATGAAATCTTATTCATACAATCTATTCTACATGTTCAATTTACCTTGGATTACTATACAATGCATACAAATGAAAACAACTTATCGGTAAACAAACAAACAGGAAACATCTATCGCCTACTAAAATCAGAACCTCGACTTAGCTCCGAACTGGGAATCCGTAATTCCGGAATACTACGTACAAATTTCACAAGGTCATGTTTATAATTATTACATTAAAACTAGAAATAAAGTTGCAACAACCTCGTTATTGTGCATAACTATGATCAAGATGCATATCACATTATTATCTACTTAATAATTCTATCAATTCTATCAATCTGCATGACCTCTTAAACTAGCGCACATGTAGCGTCTGGCGGGAAATAAGTTCACCGAATACACAACTGATGTACAAATCATGAAATTCTAAGACATGCATAATTATAATGATTTACATAAATGTACACTAGGTAACAAGTAGCGAAAAGACATAATACACACCTGGATACTGTAGTATATCAAAAATATATTAGAATGCAATGCTAGCTAAGGCCTGCGACGTTCTCTCAGACATGTAGTTCTGGCTGCAGCGTGACGAGTAATCACGTCAGCCTCGGCTCCGAAACATAGTAAAAATTACGTTCTGATAAAATTGGAAAATATTAAATTTGCACTTGTCTACATTAATGTTCAATATAAGGTGACCTCTGATCTCTCTACTGATGTACAGTACAATATTAGGTGACCACTAGTCTCCGTAAAAATGAAAAATATCGGGTGACCTCTGGTCCCCGTACTGATGTACAATATAAGGTGTCTTCTGGTCACCCTACTGATGTACAATATAAGGTGACCCCTGGTACAACTGCTGATGATCAATATAAAGTGACATCTCATCCCCTTACTGATGTACAATATAAGGTGTCCTCTGGTCCCCGTACTGCTTTCAATATAAGGTGTCATCTGGTCCCCCTACTGATGTACAATATAAAGTGACCCATGGTCCCCCTACCGATGTACAAAATAAGGTGTCCTCTGGTCCCCCTACAAATGTATAGTATAAGGTGTCCTCTGGCCCCCCTATTGATATACAAGAAAGGACCTTAGGCCCTTCTGTTGATGTACAATATAAGATGACCTCTGGTCCTACTACTAATGTAAAATATAAGGTGTCCTCTGGTCCCGCTACAGATGTACAGTATTAGGTGACCACTAGTCCCCATACAATATAAAGTGACCTCTGGTCCTTCTGCTGATGTACAATATACGATGACTTCTGGTCCTTCTGCTGATGCACAATATACGATGACTTCTGGTCTTACTACTGATGTACAATATAAGGTGACCTCTGGTTTCTTTATTGATGTACAGTACAATATTAGGTGACCACTAGTCCCTGTACTAATGTAAAATATCGTGTGACCTCTGGTCCCCGTACTGATGTACAATATAAGGTGTCCTCTCGTCCCCCTACTGATATACAATATAAGGTGTCCTCTAGTCCCCCTACTGATGCACAATATAAGGTGTCCTCTGGTCCCTCTACTGATGTACAGTACAATATTAGGTTACCTGTAGTCCCCCTACTGATGTACAATATAGGGTGACCTCTGGTCCCCCAGATGATGTACGATATAAGGTATCCCCATGCCCCCCCTATTATGTGCAATAAATTGAAAGATTAACTTTGGACCCCTATTGATTTAAAATGTAAGGTCACCTATGATCCCTCTGATGATGTGCAATATAAGGTGACCAATGATCTCACCAATGATGTTAAATATAAGGTGGCCTCTGGTCCCCCTACTGATGTACAATGTCAGGTGATCTTTGGTCCCCCTTTTGATGTACAATATGAGGTTACCTCTGGTCACCCTTTATTACTTTCACGTTTCTGCTAATATATATATTAGAAATTTGATCTTTATAAAGTTATAAATATGATTATTTTGGAGTAAGACAAAGAAAATTGTCTATCATAGAAAATTCATTTAATATATATGGTGACCTGAGGTCTCCTTATTGATATCGATGAATTTACTTTTGTGTCTTTAATGCCTGGAGAGTTCCTAGAATGTTTTATTACTACGCAAAATGACGAACTATTTGCGGGGGACCCCAGGTCCTAGTTGAGCGTACGTTTTATCCTTCTGCGAGACAATCTCCCATGCCATCTTTGTTGTACTTTCGGTTTGACGACTCATCTAAATTTAAACTCTCCTTCGATCATGCATCCCGGAAATAACTGAACATCGTATTTTTTATGGCTTTTAGTTGGAAATTAATGTACCTTTCTTTTCACGGTAAGTGAAATCGACGTCAGGCATTTTTGATCGAATAAGCGTCGGGCGCGTTTGACGTAATAACGTCACGGACGAGAATAACGTCACATAGCAGTGGCGTAGCATCGTTTTTGAAAGGGGGGGGGCCAGGCAGAGAAAATTTTTTTTTTACTTACCTGAAAAAGTTGACAAGCAAAAAACAAGTATATACTGACAAAACGTCAGAGTTACTCAAGCTGTAGAAAGCAAAATTATTAAATAAAAAATGAAAGACAATGACAAAAAGTTTTGATTTATTTAAATTGCAGAGAATTTGAGCAAAAAACAGACACAAGAAATAGTGTAGAACAGCATGGAGAATAAAAAATACAGTATGCCAACTCACAAATTAAATAATTCTGTCTTTTTTAATGACTTTACGATCAAATTATCATGTCACTTGATATTTTTTAAATTCGAGAGTTTTGAAGTCTATTCATCTCAATTAAAGCATCGGTTGGTGCTGTTATCGAGGAAGGAGAGAAGTTCACCAAGGCCAATCCTGACAATTTTTTAACACGCGATAAGCCAACATACGCCATCCCCTGTTGGAATATTTTTTCCCAATGTCCAATACAACACGTTCTAGAGTCATTCCTTGAGCTTTGTGTATTGTAACTGCCCAAGAGGGAATTAGTGGAAACTGTGTTCGAAGAACTATTTGTCCAGTTTTAAGAGTAAAATGTGAGGAAATTGTTGAAATAGCAATTGATTGGTGTTCCATAGAACTTTGGAAAATAGCTCCAACTTTTGGATCATCAAACTTCACCATTATTTCTGAAGGATTTTCACTTCCTGGTTGTTGTAGTTCAACGTTTTTAAGTTTGAATGCAGTTACTATTCCAGTTGCCCCATTTACCAAGTACTCTGATGACATAATGTTTCTTATTAACATCACTCGCGAGCCAACAGCAAGACTTAGGACTGTTGGTAAACCTCCACACTGTCTATCATCCTTAGGAAGAAGATGTGATGGAACATTATTACTCAAATTATCTGTATTACCATTTACTTGAAATAAATCTTTACTGGAAATTTTAAAAACATGATTGGTAGAATCAGTAATTTTTTGTAATTGGTTCTCATTATATTTTTCACACTGTTTTCTGGTCGGATACAAATGGACTGCACTCTGCCACTCTTCATGTTGGAGATTTACTTTTTGCCTGCCATTGAGTAATTTTATATCTTCATCAGTTATTATGCCAACTCTTGCTCTGTTTAACAATGATGCATAAACACTATCCTCGGATTGTCTGAAGTTTTGTGTTAAGAATTTGACTTTAAACAAAGTCTTCCACAAATCGAATGGAATCATAGATGTTTGTTGAAAAATATATGATCCACAAACTGGCTTAAGCTGCAGCATGTCACCAACACACAGAATACTTAATCCACCAAATGTTTTTTGATGATCATCAGCGGTGTCCTTAATCTCAGTTAGACGTTTGTGGATGACTGTAAATAAGTGAGAACTCACCATGCTAACTTCATCTATAATGATTGTGTGAATATGTTTGTAGGTATCACGCAGCTGTTGTAGTTTGGTCGAGGACAGACAAGAGTAATTTGTCACCAAATTTTTGTCCACTGGAATGGATAATGCACTGTGAATTGTTGATCCAGATATATTTGCAGCAGCTAATCCAGTATATGCCAGCAACATGACAACTGGGACATTTTTGTTGCTTAAACGATTTAGATACTCTCTGATAAGTTTTATTAGGTACGACTTCCCCGTTCCAGCACCACCTGTTATAAAGAGATGCAATGGGTTTGTAACAATTCCCGAGTTTGCGATTTGGTTAGAATAATGTTCATGTAGCAGTTGCAAGACTTCTTGTTGATCTTGACCTAAAGATTCAAGTGATGTTTTGAATTGGTCATCAGTCATAGTTAGATATGGAAGAGCTGGAACATTATCATGTTCCACAGGAGTGTTTGTCTGTTCTAGTTGATTGGCCAGTAATGGATTTAATGAAACAAAATGATTAGCTGGATCTTCACACAGATCACCATGGTGCATTGTTGTGTTTGGAGCTGCAGCATTAAATGTAACACCATACAAATTGTCCAACAATTGCAACTGTTGCACTAATCTCCTTACATCCTCTGTGAATTGCTGGAGATGGAGAGATGATGAATGTAACAATCCATGTTTCTGTTTCAATGCCTCTGTGGCGGAAAGATATGGGCAAATCAATTCACTTTCTTTTCTCCATGGAAGATATAAAAAAAGAGTTTGGAAACTTTTATCTTCTAAAGTTTGTTGAAACTTTGAGCTCGGTGTTTTTAGGCAGACTGGTTTTGTTCTTTTATAAATCCATCTGTCAAGATTTAGAAGTTTGTATCTTGTGCGTTGGTTTGAATTTGGTCTTGGTTCCTCTGCAGTTACAATGTATTCAGTCACAAACTGTGCAAGACACATATCATTATATGAAGGTATTGATGGTCTACTTTGGTAATAGTCTGTAATGTTTGGCAGGAATATTTCTTCGGATGTGTCATCTAAGTTTTCAAGTTCTTGATGGGATTTTAACAACTTCGTGCGTTTTTCAAAGGGAAGTGTATTTACAAACACAACCGAGGAACTTGACTGTACAAGAGGAATAGAACACACAATATAGGTAGCTTCTTGGGCACTCATTTCTCTGTGTGTTAGCAATACATTTCCAAGTTTGAAAAGCTTTCTGGATATTGTCTCAGCAGATGACATGGCATTTAAACTCTTAGCAATTTCCTCCTTCAGATTCATTGGTTCAGCTTTACTAATGTATGCACATATATATGCCGCTGCTCCATATTTAGATCCAATTAATTGAATATCCATGTTTGATTGAAATATTTTCAAAATTTCAGGATTGTATGCATTAACCCATATATCATTCTCTGATCGTTTGGTTTCATAGAAATTTGTGGCATGTGCTGGATCCATGTTCATTTTCAAATGAGTTTCCTCTGACACCGGTTTTGGGAAATGAAAACGGCACAAAGTATTTCTTTTCTGACATGTTTGAGTGTGTTTGTGAATTTGGTATTTCAGTACAAAGTCTCTCAGCTCTTCATCATCTTCTGCAAGAGGGATTACAGTTTTTATATATTTGTCTATAAATGATGCTGCTGATCTTTGACCAGCGTGAGTGTCCAGGTCTGGTGCATTTTCAATCCAGAGTAATGCATGAACATGGGGGGAGCCTCTTTTTTGAAACTCGATTCTGGACCAATAATCTCTCACTTTTCCAAGAGGACCATTTTTCACAAGAATAACATTTCTTAGCAATGAATTCCACCTGTAATGGAAGAAAAATGCAGCAAACACTGGATTTTTACGGAGTAGTTCTTGCTTCTCTTGGTATGACATTGAACTTTGTTGTTCAGAATCGACAGACAAAAACTGTAAAAGTTCTGGCCAGTGCAAATCATTGGCTGAAAGGGTTAAAAAAAATGTTGGTGGTCCTAGTGAGTGAAATCTACACAACAAATCTTGTAAATTGGATTTCCAGTATGCAGCTGTTCCACGTAGAGGTTTCAAATATGAATAAAAATTATCCAATTCATTTCCATTTTGGAAATTCCCATGTCTTATATCTGACATAGTAAGGCGTACCTCGCAATTCTGTGTTGCAGTTGATGCCTTGGTAATTCTTGTTGCAATGTTTGTTAAACTTTGCAGTTGTGATTTTTGGAACATATTGCAGCACCAAAATAAATAAGTTGGATTTTGTCTCCATCGTGGATCCACATTCAATATTCTTGTCTGAAGGTACAATTGTAGTTGTATTTTACCATTTCGTTCAGGTTCATTTAGTCCATTTTTTCCATATGGATAC